AATGAAATGCTTCTTCTAATTATGTGGTTATTAAGTAAATAATTTTTAAAATTACATTTGTCTTATTTAATGTTGTGTGTGTGAGAGTGTGTGTGTGTGTGTGTGTGTGTGTGTGCGCGTGTGTGTGTGTGTATGTGTGTATGTGTACAAGTGGAGACAGACCAGAAGACGAACTTCAGGAGTTAGTGCCTTCTTTCACCATATACGTGCCAGGGGTTGAACTCAGGTCATTAGGCCTGGCAGTAAGCACCTTTACACACTGAGCCATCTTAGCAGCCCAAATTCCCTTCATTGAAGTTGAATATTTTAGATATTTTTCACAGCAACAAAAGGCTAATTCAATCCAATCTACTTCACTCAGCCATTCATCTAGTCAACCATAGCCAATGCATTCACACTTTCTAATCCTCTCCTCACCTCTTTCCACTAATCCGACTGTCTTCCCCTTCCTCACTTTGTTGACCACCAGATACCTACTGACCAATCCACACACCTCCCAACCCCCCTGCCTATCTTGCTCATACAGAAAGATGCACCAAGAGTTTATTCTGACTTTCTTGTGTTTTAAACACTAGTTTCTAAATGTAGACATCTTTAATGGAACTCAGAGCCCATTTGGGAAAACAAACAGGCAACTCAGTAACTCAGATGAACAAGGACCAACACAGAGAGATGGTGTCAGGAAATCACCCATATGGCAGTCTTTTTCTAATGAAAAAGCAGGAGTTGCTAGATACAAGTTGTCCTAGTTTGTTTCTTCATTGCTGTGACAAAATACTCTGACCAATACCAACTTGAGGAGGAAAGGGTTTATTCAGCTTACATCTCCCAGGTCACAGTTCATCAGAGAGCCCAAGGTAGGAACTCAGGGCAGGAACCTGGAGGCAGGAGCTGGAGCACAGGCCATGGAGGAATGCTGCTTACTGGCTTGCTCCCCTGGCCCCTACTCAGCCTGCTTTCTTATGCCACACAGGCCCACCTGCCCAGGGGGCAGTGGGCTGGGCCCTCCCACATCACTCATCAAGAAGATGCCCCTCAGACATGGCCACAGGCCAGTCCAATAGAGGAAATTCCCCAACTGAGGCTCCCTCAACCCAGGTGTGTCAAGTTGACACTAAAGCTATCCAGCACAATTGACCCCTTGTCAACTTGACACACAAACATCACTATTAAACCAGTTCATCAGGGAGCCCAAGGTAGGAACTCAGGGCAGGAACCTGGAGGCAGGAGCTGGAGCACAGGCCATGGAGGATCAGTGCTTACTGACTTGCTCCCCTGGACCCTGTTCAGCCTGCTTTCTTATGCAACACAGGTCCACCTACCCAGGGTGACATCACCCACAGTGGGCTGGGCCCTCTCACATCACTCAACAATCAAGAAGGTACCCTATGGACATGGCCACAGGCCAGTCCAATGAAGGCAATTCCCCAATTGAGGCTCCCTCAACCCAGGTGTGTCAAGTTAATACTGAAGCTATCCAGCACAATTGACCCCTTGTCAACTTGACACACAAACACATCACTATTAAACCATAACCTTTCCAATTCTTATTCCCAATATATGATGTTAGTATCAATATCAAAACATAAGACAGTACAACCTGAAAAGCCCCACAGTCCTTCAGTCTCTTTTAAAAGTCTCTTAACTGGGGGCTCCTGTCAAATCCAAAACAAGAACTCGTATTTCAAAGGGAAGAATTGGGCACACCTAAGCAAAACCAAGTCCAGCAAAGTAGCTCAAGGCTGGACATCTGGGATTCACTCACAATCTTCTGGGCTCCGAAGGGTTCTGGCAGCTCCACTTCTCTGACTCTGCTGTCCACAGCACACACAGCTTGTCTCTTAGATCCCAGCTAGCTCCATTCCACACATACTGCTGTCCTTGGCGGTCGTCCCACAGTGCTGGCATCTCCAAAAATCTGGGGTCTCCACTGAAACTGAGGCTACACCTTCACCAATGGCCTCTTCTTGCCTCTTGGGGTGCAAAGCCTCAGATTCTCTCCATGACCCCTTCAATCCTGGGGTCTTCACTGCAACTGAAGCTGCACTTTCACCTATGGCCTTTCCTGGCCTCTGCGTGCCAAGCCTCAGCTGCTCTCTGTGATCCCTTCACGTTTTCAACACTAGCTTGAGATGGAGGCTTCAGTCCCCTCTGTGTGCTGACCCTGAGGAAATAGCTCCCAGAGGCAGTCCAATAGAGGCAATTCCAACTGAGCCTCCCTCAAACCGGGTGTGTCAAGTTGACACTAAAGCTATCCAGCAGAGATGTTGTATATGAAAAACACAATAAAATCAATAAAATATACAAAAAATCATAGTCTGGGAAGTTAAAGAAGAAAGCACTATAATAACTAAACTGACAAAATTCTCAAGCTGAAAATATGTAATTATATTTTAGAATCTAAGATCACAATTCTATGTC